GTTTCAGGTTGGCAACTTGCGCTGGGTTAGCGTTTGGCGTTTTGGGGTTTAGATGCCGTCGAATCAAATCTCTCATATCGCGTGTCGACTTTATGAAAAATCCGTAAATTTATTGCTCGCCCGTTCATCGCCCGCCGCCGCGTGACTACGTAGCAAAACGTTGCGCGTTCCGGGAATACGTTACACGAACTCACACGCCTCTTCCGCTTTTCCACATACGCGCACACCACGATGACGTTCTGCGTATCGTGTAATCGACAAAGAAAATATTAACGTTGCAAGGGCCCGGAATTGGAATAAAAGCGCGGCTGCGAGAATAGGAAATGAGCGAGGACGGGAGGAAGTGAGTTGAAAGTGGATGCAGAACGAGGAAAATGCTTTGACGTAGATGGAATTGATATCATAATATGAAAAAGGAAAATTATCAATTTTTTCGGAATTTTTTAAAACATGTTTTGAAAACACCCTGTATCTCCTGTACCAATTGAGATATTTTAAATATTTTTTATGTATTTGATAGATTATGAATTTGTCTTTTCTATGTGTTATTTTACTTCAAATTTATTTGAAATGCTTTTAAATGTCTTTCAAAAATGATCTTAAAATGCAATTTTTTACAAATTCTATAAAATTTGAAAACATGTTTTGGTAAACACTCTGTATCTTCTATACGAATAGAGCAAATTTAAATATTTTTTCAGAGAATTATAGCTCAGAAGATCCTTTATCTTGTGTATCACTTTTAATTTTTCTAAATATATTTTAAATTCCTTAAAACGCATTCATAAAATGACCTTAAAATGCATAAATGCACAAAATGCAAAAATACGTTTCAGAAAATACTCTGTATCTTTTGTACCAGTAAACTAATTTAAAATATTTTTATTGCAAATGATAGCTAAAATGATCCTTTATTATATGCACTATTTTTTTTTTCTCTAACTATATTCGAAATGCCCCTAAACGCCCTTCAAAATGACCTTAAAACGCATACAACTAATTCCTGGCGGTAAAGAAATCGCTCCGTAAACGACATAATAAAGCGAGTTCGAGGACGTTTTGGCACGTTTACAAACTCTTTACTTTAACGATATGCTTTTAAGCACTCCTGCACTTACTTTGGCCTATTTTAGATGCTTCGCCTTGCATTGAAAGAGAAAATTGATACGAAATCAATACTTTACTTTATGCATTTTACGCTCTTACTAAAAGTAAAAATCATCCGCGTTTTAAAAGTCTCATTCATTTCCCTAAAACATAATATGCAATAATAAATAAACCCATAAAACCTTAAAAGCTGTATCTATTTTAAAAATTGCTTCTCACACGAGTAAACTTGAACGATGGCGGTTAAATGTTAGCTTGTTTGAGCCTTGTCCTTTTCGTTGTCGATTGTCGATTGTCCTCAAAACTTCAGCTTTCTCTGTGCCCACGCGTAGCTCTATTATAGGTGGATAGGTGGAACTTCCTTTGGGGATATAAATTAGTTAAAAGCACCAGCAGTAGCGGCTGGAATGTCCTGGCGGAGATCGAGATCGAACAAACCGAGCGCAAACGAAACCCCTCTCTCGAAACATGTAGCGATAGAAAAAAACTAAAGGAAGGTATAAATTGTGGCGGAGGATGTGGGGAAGGACTAAGGATTGCCAGTCTTTGCTTGCGGGCATGCGGGCTGCGCGTTTATCGGGAAAAATTCGATTAGAGGCCGAAAACTACCCGAAAACAAGCCACAAATAAACACTAAGTGTTTAGAAACTTGAAAATTTAAATTTAAAATTTTAGTAGTGAAATAAAATGTTTTTGTAATAATAACGCGCTCAATATTTAATTTCCGGGAACGTGTGTTGCACGTTGTCGCACGTTGAAGCTCGAACGCCGCGAGCGTTTAGCATTATTTCACTCGCTGCAAAATGGTCGACAATGGCGCATAAAGAGAAAATTCAATAAGTAGCTGCACTAACGATAACGGTGCGAATTCACTATAAATTCTTTGCGATTCAATTTTATTCCACAATGTGACACAAATTGAAAAATTTTATATTTTGCATATAAACTTATAAATAATTATGCAGCTTTGTTTAGTGCTTACGCTAAGCGATGCTGAAAATCGCATTGTGTTGTCCACCGAAATTTGACGCGCGTGATAAACACTCGGGTGTGTATTATGAATGAAACGCCCGAACCTTAACCAACATCGGTGCGCTCGGGATAATGTGCAGTTCCGTATCCCGCTTGATAATCCCGAATCAATGCCTCGTTTGCTAAAAGGCCCCCTAGTCTTGGGCGTGCTTGATGTGGGTGCCTACGTGTTGAATATTCTATTCTACAACAATGCAACCAAATATTAGATAAGCTGTTGGGTTTGGGCAGAGAGCTGCCGGATTCATCTCGGATCCGGTCCGCTTGTCTGATGCGCGATGATCCCGCGAGCGGAGAGACACAGGAAGACGTCCATCAAGCATGCCCCGGCGAGCGTGTTACAAATCGGCCATCAGGGCGGAGAAAACATCTTAGTAATAGATTTTGCAAGGCTAGCAAGCGTGTTTTGTGTCAACCTGTGACTGATTGACAAAAGCCCACAATCAGAGTAACGGTTTATTTTTTGCTGGGGGAAACTGAGATGTTGGAATCTAAAATTGGGTATAAATAAGGGATAAGATTTTGGGCTGATTGATAGGGGTTGTTACTGAAAAATTCATGAATTTACAAAATTAATAAAATATGAATTTTTGGAAAAAATAATAAAACATGTTTTTTTAAACACTCTGTATCTTCTATACTAATAGAGATATGTGGAATATTTTTTTTAGAAATTATAGCCAAAAAGCCTATCTATATACTGCATGTTTTTTATTTTAATAAAATATATTTATAATGCTCTAAATCATCCTTTAAAAATGCCCTAAAAATGTAAAATACAAATTTAACAATTTTTAAAATATGTCCTAGAAAACACTCGGTATCTTTTATATCCATTGAGTAATTTTAAATATTTTTATTGCAAATTGTAGATTAAAAGTTGTACTATCTACACCATATTTTCAAATTTTTATAAATATTTTTCTAATGCCCTAAAACGCCCCCCAAAAATGACCTTAAAATGCAAAAAACTAAAAAATTCATAAAACTAAAACATTAATAAAATATGAACCATACACAATATCAATCGATCACAGTCTGTTTAAATTAATACTAATGAGTAGTATAGTATTTCACTTCCGGTTTGTATTATCGAAAAAATCTCTATTGTTACAAGGAGCCACAATAAAATCCTTTCATTCCGAAGAAAGACAACTTGGTTGTTTTTCTGATCGAAAATACGAAGAAACGAAAGAAAATCCAAGAATATCCGTGCTATCAATATCCACTAACTTTCTAATGGCACTACTCACAACTCACCCCCTTTATCTTCTATCTGTGTGTGTGTGGATATGATTGATAACCGACGCGACTCGATTACACAACGATCAATGTCACACTTGCAACTATCAAACCACATCAAATACACACACACAAATACAAACATCCAGTGAGTTGGAGTTTATCTAGCAAATTGATACAGGGTAGTAGTTTGTGAGGGTTGAGAGTGGTTCGGTGAGATAGATTGGCGGCCGAATGAAGACGATTCTCGGTCGCCGACCACGTAATATGTCAAGTTGGCGAGTTGGACATATCGTCGTGACACGAAGATTTAATCGACGGTTTTCCACCCTTAAAAAACTACCCTCTGAAAAAATAAAATTTATCTCAAAAATATATTTGTAGAATTTTAAATATTTGAATACGAAATCAAATTTTATTTGATTTTTTTTTTATTCGCAGAAAAGAAAGCGAAAAAACTCATATATATTATTACAGTGACGTTTACGGCAATAGAATATGAGCTATATTGTGCCCAACGCAATATACGCACCCTTACTCCAGTCCGGAACATTACTAAAAAATATTACGATCAATTCGGGCGCCGTCGAAGGCTTGCACGACACAAAAAACGAATAAAATCAACGCTTGTGTACATAAAGTCTATTTTTATACATTCATATCACGGGCAATATTTACATACAGACTCAAAAGTCTCAAATCTGCTTTGGGAGTCGTTAAAAATACATTATTTTCATTATTAAGTAGATTTTATTATTTGTAGAGGAGGTAGTCAGTCTCAAATGTACTTGAGTAGCCTTCAGGGGCGGGGTAACCCAGAGGGGCGAGGTGTACTCCACGTTTATGAAGGTTATGATAGGTTGGAATCAAGTGGGCGTGGTTGTAGTAAGGGCGTGGCTCCCAGCAGCAACAAAAGCCAAAAAACTAAGGAAAATAATCTAAAATAATTTTTTAATATTTTTATTGTTTTATGAGCAGATTTTTATCTTACCAAAATATTCATTTTGATTTTGATGATTTTTATAAACTGAAGAATTATTTTATGTTTCTTTGCTTTTATAGCAAAAATATGCATCTATTTAACATTTTAGATTTAAATTTTGCATTTTAGAAACATGTTTTGTAGATTTAGTTTAAATATCAAAATATCATATTTATTGATAGACATTTATACGCATAATAATATAAACAAATAGTGTGAGTTGTGTTGAATAGTTAATTTATTAATGTATTATTTAACTACTAGTTTACTATGACAATGAAACTTTCAAATATGTTTAATGTATGCCGGCAATTGCATATAAAATTAATTAAATGCATAAATGTTTAATTCTTTTAGTGATTTTTTTGCTGTTTTCGACGAATTTATTTGTGAAACAGCCAGAACTCATATAAATTCCTATCAGAGTTATTTGCTGAGTCGGGTGAATACTTCGCATAAAACTGTAAAAAAATATGTGATCAAATTTTTTTCGGGAATTCAATATGAGTGAATTAATAACGCAAGTTTTATTTTTGTCAATTTTATTTTATGTATTTTTATTTTATGTATGTGTGTCTACCGATTTTTTTGCTATTAATTAATTAACTTTTTTTTACAAAAGTTTTTATTTTTAACATTTTTATGTATTTTAACTTATTAATTAATAGGATTATTATGAGGGACATTTGGGGCATTAAAAAAGTGAGGAGTAGCAAAGGCGTGAGTATAGGTGGCGCTGGAATAACTTGAATAAGCAAATGGACCAGGGTTTACTCTGCGTCTGTCAAAAGGTGAGGCTTGGGTACCATCAGCGTAGATTGGTGCTGATGCTGGAGGTGCTGCTGCAGCTGCAGCTGGAGCAAAATGTGGGGCGAAATTACCATAGGAGTAGTCCATTGGAGCAGCGGAGATGATTCCACGTCGGTATAATTCATGGGCACTATAGAAGGCAGGCCCAGGAGCGGATACAGGTGCTGGTCCAGGTGCAGGTGGGTAGAAGCCAAATTGTTGTTGAAGGGCTGGAGCTGCGTTGAATCCAGGGGCAAGGGTCATGATGACCATTAGAGCAATCTGGATAAAAGTACCAATTTTAGGTAATAGTATGGTTTTCTTTTAAGATATCGAGGTCTTACCAGGAACTTCATGTTTAATATTGATCTGATTCTGACTGAGCAACTTGGTAATACAAAGTGATATTTTTGCAATGTTCCTGGAGTATATATACTACTACTACTCACATATAGAATGTTTTTAAGTGCAAGGTTAATGGTGTTCCGTTATATCCTCTACTATAACTAAATCCATTGCATTTTTCTGCATTTTTCTACATTTTATGATCAACAATAAAAATAAAACATCAAGATATAGTTGTATGTTATTTATTTATTGTGCCTAGATTTCCTTATAATTTCAAAACATTCAATAGTGGTAACGTGGGACGAATGGGGTGTTGTAGGCGGTGTGAGCGACAGAAGCACCATGGTAAGCAGCAATTGGGGCGGCGTAGACTCCACGCTTGTACAGATGGTGGGCACCGTAGGCGGTGTATGGGGTGTAGGCAGCATGGGAGTATCCGGTGTAGGCCAAAGGAGCAGCATAAACTCCGCGCTTGTACAAATGGTGGGCACCAAAGGCATATGGGGTAGTGTAGGCAGAATGGGCATAAGCACCATGGTAGGCAGCTACTGGGGCAGCATAGATTCCACGTTTGTAGAGATGGTGAGCTCCATAGACACCAGCGTATGGGGTAGCGTAGGCATGGTGGGCATAACCAGCATGGGCATAGGCACCATGAGTGTAGGCAGCAACTGGAGCAGCGTAGATTCCACGCTTATACAGATGGTGAGCTCCGAAAGCATAAGGAGTAGCGTATGGAGTGTAGGCAGCAGCGGAGTAATGAGCAACTGGGGCTACATACACAGCAGCGGAAACGGCCAAGATGGCGGCGAAAGCAATCTGTAATCAAATCAAAAACAAATTTTAATTAACAATTTCTGTTTTTTTAGTTTTCTATTAAATTGAATAACCAAGACGCACCAGGAATTTCATGGTGAGTGTTTGATTGTTGTTTAGACTGCAGCTAGGATGCAACTGTGCCTACCACCTTGCAGTTTTGGCTATTTATACAAAAATTAAAGCAATGCCACACCTCGTTTGTTCTTGTGCAGCAATGGTGAGGCATTTGAACTTTAATAAAGCAGAGCATAGCAACTCACTCATGGTTCATGTTCAAGGTTGAGAGTTGTAACACAGTTTCGAAAACAAGTATGTGTACCAAAAAAGTGTGGCATGATCGAGTAGGTATCTAACAAGGAAGTAAATACCATATATCACAAATGTATAATTGGTAGGTCTAAAGACAATCCATTATGGACAAATAAACTTGTTTTAATGGGAATGCATTTAATAAACAAATATTGCGTTTTTAATATTTAAAATTTATTCTTGAAAAGACTCAGTAACTTTGACTAAAATTTGACTATGTTAAATATATGATCTCCTAATATAAAAATGTAGCTTATAAATTCCAATCAATCCAATCTATATATATAAAAAATGAATTGCTGTTCGTTAGGTCCGCTAAAACTAGAGAGAACGGCTGAACGGATTTATCTTATCTTGGTCTTGGAATTATTCGTGGAGGTCTAGGGAAGGTTTAAAAGGTGAGAAAATTCAATAATTGCTGGTAACTCTCAAAACAGCGCAGAATGGGCATAAGCACCATGGTAGGCAGCTACTGGGGCAGCATAGATTCCACGTTTGTAGAGATGGTGAGCTCCATAGACACCAGCGTATGGGGTAGCGTAGGCATGGTGGGCATAGGTACCATGGGCATAGGCACCATGGGTGTAGGCAGCTACTGGAGCGGCGTAGATTCCACGCTTATACAGATGGTGAGCTCCAAAGGCATATGGAGTAGCGTATGGAGTGTAGGCAGCAGCGGAGTAATGAGCAACTGGGGCTACATATACAGCAGCGGAAACGGCCAAGATGGCGGCGAAAGCAATCTGTAATCAAACACAAATTTTATTAATAATTTCTTTCTTTTTAGTTTTTTTTTTAATTCAATAACCAAAACGCACCAGGAATTTCATGGTGAGTGTTTGATTGTTGTTTAGACTGCAGCTAGGATGCAACTGTGCTTACCACCTTGCAGTTTTGGCTATTTATACAAAAATTAAAGCAATGCCACACCTTGCTTGTTCTTGTGCAGCAATGGTGAGGCATTTGAACTTTAATAAAGCAGAGCATAGCAACTCACTCATGGTTCATGTTCAAGGTTGATAGTTGTAACACAGTTTCGAAAACAAGTATGTGTACCAAAAAACTATGGCATGATCGAGGAGTATCTAACAAGGAAGTAAATACCATATATCACAAATATATATAATTGGTAGGTCTAAATATCAACCAATATGGACAACAACTTGTTTTTAATGGGAATGCATTTTAATAAACAATTATTGCGTTTTTTTAATATTTAAAATTTATTCTTGAAAAGACTCAGTAACTTTTGACTAAATTTGACTATGTTAAATATATGATCTCCTAATATAAAAATGTAGCTTATAAATTTTAATCAATACTATATATATAAAAATGAATTGCTGTTCGTTAGTCTCGCTAAAACTGAGAACGGCGAACAGTTATCTTATCTTGGTCTTGAATTATTCGTGGAGGTCACGAGGAAGGTTTAAAAGGTGAGAAAAATTCGAATAATTGCCGGGAAAATCCTCGAAAACAGCTCTTTTCTACCATAGGCCAAAATTTGACATTGAGATTCAATCATAGTTATAGTTAAATAGTTGATTTTCGGTGGCGCGCTTTGGAAATTCATTATTGACAAAACTTTATATAATTAATTTCTTTAAATTAAAATTGCTAATCTTATTGATAGAATTGACTCTTACTACGAGTATGTCTAGAATAAGAGAGTAAAAACGAAATACATTTTTATTAAACACTGCTGGAACGAAGTCGCGGGCAACAGCTAGTATACAATAACAATAACAAGTCTTGCAAAATAGACAGATTTTATTAATTATCAAAATTTTGTGTAGTAAACACTCAGTATAATATAGAAAGTAGAGACTCTAAATAAATATATTAGTTTGGCAGATGTAGAAAGTTGTAAATAGAGTGATAACATCAAAAAATAAATAGAAAGATATAAAAATAAAGTTTTATTTCATTGTGTACAAACAAAAACTAAATAATATTAAGATTTATATAACAACAAACGACATTACGTGTATATAAATAAATCAATATCAATAAAAGTTTAATTAAAAGAAGAGTTCTTGTAATATCAAAAAACAAGAAATACGATGAATGTGTTTTACTTTAGATTGTATATGAAATGCGATATCAACGCTAATGGATCTTATTAATGTCTATGTAATTTAATAATACAAATATAAAAATATACCTTTATAGAAATAAATATTTGAGTAAATTTATATTAATTTGAATTTCATTAAGTATATTGCAATATATTTAATTAAGTATTAATAGCACATTCTGGAAGATAATATAAAGAATGACATGAACTAGATAAAAATTTGTTTAATTTTTTATTTATTTATTTATAATCTATACAATCTTGTCGGTAACATTTTAATCATTTAATAGTAGTAACGTGGGACGAATGGGGTGTTGTAGGCGGTGTGGGCAACAGAGGCACCATGGTAAGCCAAAGGAGCGGCGTAGATTCCACGCTTGTACAGATGGTGAGCACCGAAGGCGTATGGGGTAGCGTAAGCGGAATGAGCATAACCATGATGGGCATAGGCACCATGAGCATAAGCACCATATGCGACTGGGGCGGCGATCACTCCACGTTTGTAGAGATGATGAGCACCATAGACACCAGCGTATGGGGTAGCATAAGCATGGTGAGCATAACCAGCATGGGCATAGGCACCATGGTAGGCAGTGATTGGAGCAGCGTAGATTCCACGTTTATACAGATGGTGGGCACCGTAGATACCAGCATATGGGGTGGCATAAGCTCCATGGTAGGCAGCTGGGGTGTAAGCACCATAGGCGGCTACACCATGATAAGCTGGGGCTACGTACACAGCGGCGGAGACGGCCAAGACGGCGGCGAAAGCAATCTAAAAATAATAAACATTTATTATAGATAATTGTATGTGTTATACTCGTAGATTAGATCCTTTGATTCTACTCTTGATACTTACGAGGAATTTCATGGTGAGTTTGTTTGGTTGTTGTTTAGACTGCAGCTAAAATTCAACTGTGATCTAACAAAATATTCCAGCTCTATTTATATGAAAAATATGCTCTAGAAGACATATTGAAGGTTAAATAATTGTTGTTTTTGTTGCTAATTTATAATCAAAACAATGCTTAGTTTTTTTGGTAGTTTTTTATGTGGACTACCTGTTTAAAAAACAACTATCGACGGAAGACAATTTACATATATTTATTATTGCAAATATTTGTAACAATAAAAGCTAGAATAAGCCTATTTCAAGGTCACGCAACTCACAAAGTAATATTAAGGTTTTATTTTTTTTACTTTATAGATAAAAAGGAAAAATGTTAATAAAATATTTATTAAAGTATAGAAATAATTTATTTATAAAAATTTAATTAAAAATAGGTTATATTTAGCTACATTGTTGATTTGTTATACAAATTTTATAAATTTAGTATAGTATGTTTGGTACGGAATTAAATGTAACAGGTAAAAAGTTTTGTGCGTGTTTCTTTTCAAGTAAACTTGAGTTGATATCAAAAGAAACAATAACAAAGAAAAACAAATCTAAATTGAGTTTTTTAAGTTTTATTCGAATGATTTGTTTGAAACTGAAAGTCAATAAATATTTTAGTACTTGTGACTGTGCTTTTTGATTTATATTCTAATATTATTAAAAATAAATAATAACAAAATATTTTTCGAGTTTTATATTTTTATTGCTTATATGTAATTGTCATAACATTTTATACATTTATACATTTAATAATAGTAACGTGGGACGAATGGGGTGTTGTAAGCGGTATGGGCAACAGCGGCACCATGGTAAGCGGCAATTGGGGCGGCGTAGATTCCACGCTTGTAAAGATGATGAGCACCGAAAGCGTATGGGGTAGCGTAGGCGGAATGAGCATAACCATGATGGGCATAGGCACCATGAGCATAAGCACCATAGGCGGCAACTGGAGCGGCGATCACTCCACGCTTGTAGAGATGGTGAGCTCCATAGACTCCAGCGTATGGAGTAGCATAGGCATGGTGAGCATAACCAGCATGGGCATAAGAACCATGGTAAGCAGCAACTGGAGCAGCGTAGATTCCACGTTTATACAGATGATGAGCACCGTAGATACCAGCATATGGGGTGGCATAGGCACCATGGTAGGCTGGGGTGTAAGCACCATAGGCGGCTACACCATGGTGAACTGGAGCTACGTAAACAGCAGCGGAGACGGCCAAAACGGCGGCGAAAGCAATCTATAATAAACAATGTAATAATTAATACATTTTCTATTGTTTAAACAAATTAAACCTACCAAGAATTTCATGGTTGTTGTTGGGTGGTTTGGTTGTTGTTTAGACTGCAGCTAAAATTCAACTGTGATCTTACCGACAGCTCAGCAACTATTTATACTCAATTTTTACCTAATCAAGGACAAGACAATACTTTTTCATATAAAAAACTTACTTAAAAACTTACACGAAAAAATTTAATAGCAACAAAACAGAGTCAGCAACATGGATCTATTAAACCAGTAAATAAAAAAAAGCGCTGAAGTGCATTATTGACAAAACTTTATATAATTAATTTGTTTAAATTAAAATTGCTAATCTTATTGATAGAATTGACTCTTACTACGAGTATGTCTAGAACAAGAGAGTAAAAACGAATTACATTTTTATTAAACACTGCTGGAACGAAGTCGCGGGCAACAGCTAGTATACAATAACAATAACAAGTCTTGCAAAATAGGCAGATTTTATTAATTATCAAAACTTTGTGTAGTAAACACTCAGTATAATATAGAAGGAAAAAGTTAAAATAAATATATTGGTTTGGCAGATGTAGAGAGTTGTAAATAGAGTGATAACATCAAAAAATAAATAGAAAGATATAAAAATAAAGTTTTATTAGATTTTATCAAAAAAAAAACTTAATAATATCTAGATTTATATAACAACAAACGACATTATATAAATAAATCAATATCAATATAAGTTTAATTAAAAGAAGAGTTCTTGTAATATAAAAAAGCAAGAAATACGATGAATGTGTTTTACTTTAGATTGTATATGAAATGCGATATGAACGCTAATGGATCTTATTAATGTCTATGTAATTTAATAATACAAATATAAAAATATACCTTTATAGAAATAAATATTTGAGTAAATTTATATTAATTTGAATTTCATTAAGTACATTGCAATATACTCGTATTTAATTAGGTATTATAAAAACAGTCTGGGAGAAAATATATAGGATAACATGAACTAGATTAAAATTTGTTTAATTTTTTATTTATTTATTTATAATCTATACAATATTGTCGGTAACATTTAATAGTCATAATCATTTAATAGTAATAACGTGGGACGAATGGGGTGTTGTAGGCGGTGTGGGCAACAGAGGCACCATGGTAAGCTAAAGGAGCAGCGTAGATTCCACGTTTGTACAGATGGTGAGCACCGAAGGCATATGGGGTAGCATAGGCGGAATGAGCATAACCATGATGGGCATAGGCACCATGAGCATAAGCACCATAGGCGACTGGGGCGGCGATCACTCCACGTTTGTAGAGATGGTGAGCACCATAGACTCCAGCGTATGGGGTAGCATAAGCATGGTGGGCATAACCAGCATGGGCATAGGCACCATGGTAAGCAGCGACTGGGGCAGCATAGATTCCACGTTTATACAGATGGTGAGCACCGTAGATACCAGCGTATGGGGTGGCGTAAGCACCATGGTAGGCTGGGGTGTAAGCACCATAGGCAGTTACTCCATGGTAAGCTGGGGCTACGTAAACAGCAGCGGAGACGGCCAAAACGGCGGCGAAAGCAATCTAAAATAATAAACATTTATTATAAATAATTGTATGTGATATACTCGTAGATTAGATCCTTTGATTCTACTCTTGATACTTACGAGGAATTTCATGGTGAGTTTGTTTGGTTGTTGTTTAGACTGCAGCTAAAATTCAACTGTGATCTCACAAAATATTCCAGCTCTATTTATATGAAAAATATGCTCTAGAAGACATATTGAAGGTCAAATAATTGTTGTTTTTTGTTTGCTAATTTATAATCAAAACAATGCTTAGTTTTTTTGGAAGAGTTTTTTTGTGGACTACCTGTTTAAAAAACAACTATCGACGGAAGACAATTTACATATATTTATTATTGCAAATATTTATAACAATAAAAGCTAGAATAAGCCTATTTCAAGGTCACGCAACTCACAAAATAATATTAAGGTTTTATATTTTTTTATTTTGTAGATAAACAAAAGGAAAAATGTCAATAAAAATATTTATTAAAGTATAGAAATAATTTATTTATAGAAATTTAATTAAACATAGGTTATATTTAGCTACGCTGTTGATTTATTATACAAATTTTATAAATTTAGTATAGTATGTTTGGTACGGAATTAAATGTAACAGGTAAAAAGTTTTGTGCGTGTTTTTTTTTAAGAAAACTTGACTTGATACCCAAAGAAACAATAACAAAGAAAAACAAGTCTAAATTGAGTTTTTTAAGTTTTATTCGAATGATTTGTTTGAAACTGAAAGTCAATAAATATTTTAATACTTGTGACTGTGCTTTTTGTTTTATATTCTAATATTATTAAAAATAAATAATTACAAAAATGTTTTTTGGATTTTTATATTTTTATTGCTTATAGGTAATTGTCATAATATTTTATACATCTTATACATTTAATAATAGTAACGTGGGACGAATGGGGTGTTGTAAGCGGTATGTGCAACAGAGGCACCATGGTAAGCGGCAATTGGGGCGGCGTAGATTCCACGCTTGTAAAGATGATGAGCACCGAAGGCATATGGGGTAGCGTAGGCGGAATGAGCATATCCATGATGGGCATAGGCACCATGAGCATAAGCACCATAGGCGGCGACTGGGGCAGCGATCACTCCACGTTTGTAGAGATGGTGAGCACCATAGACTCCAGCGTATGGAGTAGTGTAGGCATGGTGAGCATAACCAGCATGGGCATAGGCACCATGGTAGGCAGTGATTGGAGCAGCGTAGATTCCACGTTTATACAGATGATGAGCACCGTAGATACCAGCATATGGGGTGGCGTAAGCACCATGGTAGGCTGGGGTGTAAGCACCATAGGCGGCTACACCATGATGAACTGGAGCTACGTAAACAGCAGCAGAAACAGCCAAAACGGCGGCGAAAGCAATCTAAAATAAACAATGTAATAATCAACAAATTTTCTATTGTTTAAACAAATTACACCTACCAAGAATTTCATGGTTGTTGTTGGGTGGTTTGGTTGTTGTTTAGACTGCAGCTAAAATTCAACTGTGATCTTACCAACGGCTCAGCAACTATTTATACTCAATTTTTACCTAATCAAGGACAAGGCAATACTTTTTCATATAAAAAAATTTACTTAAAAACTTACACGAAAAAAAATTAATAGCAACAAAACAGAGTCAGCAACATGGATTTATTAAACCAGTAAATAAAAAAATTATGATAAATCTATTTAAATATTCAGTTTTATTTGTTGTTTACTCAATTTGTAATAAAATTGTACAATTTATACAAAATATACACATAATTAAATAAAGTTATACGTTAATAAAAATATTTATTGTCATTTAATTATAGTTTCATATAGCAGGAATATATTTTTGTGCAAAATCAAATTGAGAGTACAATAAAAATCACGAACATGACTCTGACTAACTTAAGTAATACTCAAGTGACTTAAGTAAACAAAATGTTTAGTGTTTACTAGATTATTATATTGAATGCATATCACTCTAAAAACTGTATCTGTGCACTAACGCATCAACAATTAATTATGAAGTATACTTAAGTATAGTTTCAAATAATAAATTTATTATAATTGATTGCATTTATGATCTGCTTGTGTTTGTGTGTAGTAGTGTAAAATAGATGTCTCACAAATTCGTATAATATTTATATCTATACTGTGCGCACCATTCTTGGCAGATAAGACGGATTCAGTAAACGACTTAAGTCATGAAAATAAATCACACCGTAGTCCTAGTGCTGCAATCTCGGAATCAATTGTTGAACTATTTTGTCTCTTGCTACATTATACTTATTTATTAAACAAAGAAAACTATATATAATCCGGAACATAATTATAATAATAATAATATTAATATAATTTGTAAATTTTTATTAATATATATTCATAATTATTTTATTTACATTAACAGATCAAAAGGTAACTAACGACCTAGTCCAGCTCCAGACAAAAGAGATATACTCTTATAGACATTTTGGCCATCGGTCTGACGCTTGTACAAATGGTGGGCACCAAAGGCATATGGGGTGGCGTAAGCGGAATGAGCATAACCATGATGGGCATAGGCACCATGAGCATAAGCACCATAGGCGATTGGGGCGGCGATTACTCCACGTTTGTAGAGATGGTGAGCTCCATAGACACCAGCGTAGGGGGTAGCATAAGCATGGTGAGCATAACCAGCATGGGCATAAGCACCATGGTAAGCAGCAACTGGAGCAGCGTAGATTCCACGTTTATACAGATGATGAGAACCGTAGATACCAGCATATGGGGTGGCATAAGCTCCATGGTAGGCAGCTGGGGCATAGGCACCATAGGCTGCTACACCATGATAAGCTGGGGCTACGTAAACAGCAGCGGAAACAGCCAAAACGGCGGCGAAAGCAATCTATAATAAACAATATAATAATTAATAAATGTTATATTGTTTAAACAAACTAATGGCCTACCAGGAATTTCATGGTTGTTGTTTAGACTGCAGCTAAAACTCAACTGTGATCTTACCAACATCTCAGCAGCTATTTATACTAAAGTTTTACCTAAGCGAGAACAAGGTAATATTTTATCAGTTTGAAAAAACTTAAGAAAAAATGCATCTATGAGTAGTTTGCAAAGTCAACAACATAACTTATAAAAACTTTTAATAAAATAATTATAACATATAATTATGCAAAAATAATCAGATTTATTATGTTGTTTACCTAATTTGTAATAAATTATTCAATATTATTTCATATACAAAAATTACTTCAAAACAAAAAAAAAATAGTTACCAAACAGAGTCGATAACATCTATTTAATCTATTAATCTATTTAAATAATCAGTTTTATTTGTTGTTTACTCAATTTGCAATAAAATTGTACAATTTAAACAAAATATACATATAAATAATCCCTACTAATATTATAAATGCGAAAGTTCTGATGTTTGTTACACTTTCACGCAAAAACTACTTAACCGATCATCATGAAAATTTGTACACATATTCTTAGTGGTCCCCGAATGGTT